GCGGGACTGGCCTAGGGGAATTTTTAGAGGGGTTTTATTCATATTTTAATTAGACAACATTTAAATATTTCTTTTTAACTAATTTTAAATTTTGTAATTGTTTTTGATGTATTTTTAAATTGATTGTCAGCCGCCCTGAGTCCGCAAGGAGAAGGGCGGGATATAAATTCGATAAATAAATAAATAAATAAATAAATGTCTAGTAGTAGCAAAAATAACAAAATAACATATCTACTGGGAATCAGTATTGAGCAAATCCCTGGCATCTTGCTGAAAATGTTCTTATTTTAAAAAAAGAATAAAGGAGTGAGTCAGCAATCCTAAAAGTCAAGAAATGGCCTGTGACAATAAGGTAACATAAACCTCATGAAAAAACTGCTAATGCTATAATTTTTGTCATTATGGAATGTGAATATTAAATGAGCTTTGGCTGGGTCTGTAGCTCATGAAATGTTATTTCAAGGAACTCAGACAAATTCTAGTAAAAATCTTATAGCTCATAAATGAATAATAAGGGCCCAGCACTTTCAAAGAAATAATTATCAGCTGCATTATCATAAGAATAAGGAAAGGCACAAAGAAATTTAAAAGGAAAACACTAAAAAATGTTAGTAATTATATTTAACAAAGTTCCGGAAAAAAAGACTGGATGCATATAAGAAATGGAAAGAAGGGCGGGTCACAAGAGCAAACACATACAACTAAGCAGATATGCAGCAATACTGCCAAGAAACCTAAAGCTAATACTGGGAAGAGGCCCAAGTAATGTTTCAAACAAGCTGAGGGAGGAAATAATTCAGTAAAGACAAGGAAATGTTCAGGTGAAAAAAAGTGAAATATTCATATTTTGTCTCTTCAAAATTCTGTGCTATTTCCTATAAGTGTAGCTAAGAAACTATCAAGATTCCTGTCCAAGATTAGTAAAGAATTGGTCAGAAAATATCCAGCTACTTTCAATCTGCAGACACTCCTGAATAATGTTCATTTCCTGATGACTACACAGACACTTCCATGTGTGGGTTTTTTTTGGAGGGGGGGTGTAACAGTATCATGGTGATTTGCTACAGCCATTTTCTAATATGTCTTTTTCAAACTCTCAGCTCTGAAATTCATTGGAGATCTCCTGCCCAATTCCTAACCAGGTCTGGTCCTGCTAAACGTCTGGGGCCAGTCAAGGCAGATTGAGTCCTGACAGTTGTCGTACCATATCCAACCAAGTAAAGGTCTTTGATTCTCAAGACAAAATCAGTTCGGTAGCCCATCAAGAGTTAGCAGATCCATTTGAGGGAAGAGAGCTGGTTTTGTGCTGAGGGATTTTACATACAAGCCACTCAGCAGCAATAGCAGCTTATAGTGCTCTCTTTGGAGGTGACAAGCACTGGCAAATTGTACCAGTGCTAGAAATAACCTGTGCTGTAAAAATCGAAGTGGCCATTAAAGAACAGAAAAGCTAGAACTTCAGGCTTCTAAATAACCAATCTGTTTGTGCTCTGCTACAGAGTCAGCATGCCACCTACAGAGGAACCTAGGTGTTTACCTATGGCTTGTCCAAGCAGATCCAGTGGCAAAAAGGCTCAGGTGAGTCTAGAGTTAATAGAGAGTTCTGTGTAGCTCTCTGCTGCCATTTGTAGTTGTTCTTGTCAGTATGCACTGAGGCTGATGGTTGCTCACCTGAGCTTTTTTGCCTATGGTTCTGCTTTGGCAGAAGCAGGTTCCTCTGTAGGTGGCTTGCTGACTCTGTAGCAGAGGACAATCAGGTTGGTTATTTTGAAGCCTGAAGTTCTAGCTGGGTCCCCCATCTCTAGTGGATTCTACCACATCTGCCTTGATTCTAGTCAAGCCACAGTCTCCAACTATCTTAAGCAAACTTATATTTTCAGGGCCAGATTAGTTGACCCCTAACACAAAACAGGGATTTTATGATTTACATGCAAAACAAACTCTGAGAAATTCTGAAGAATAGATGTCACAGGAATATAAACACATTTATAAAGCAAAACAGAAGAGCCAGGCAAATAAAGACTGATCTGCCCAATTGCAATTACATATTAATGAGAAAGGAATCAATTTGTTACAGTGAGATAGAAACCCTGAGATACTGCTTAGTAAGAGGTAGTGCAGATTTTCCAAGAAAAAAAAATCTGCACTTTTTAAAAAAAACAACAGTTGTCATGGTTCCGAAAGAAGAAGTTCTTCAAAGAACTTTGAGGCATTGTTTACCTTAAAGAATCTTTAATTGCAACATAGCTTCCGTACATAGAGAAGCCAAAATCTGAATTCTCCTCCCCCAAACACACAGTATCTAAGCATAACTCACTCCTTCATTTAACAGTCATTAATCACGTTCTCCAATTAGTTTGAAGTGTGAACTTCCCTCCCGTTATCTCCTCTTATTACAACCAACCTTGAAGAATACTCTACTGAGATATTGTTATGGCTAACTAGTCCCCAAGCACATTCTTCCCCCTCCCCTCCAGCATCATCAAATTTTTACTCTAAAAGTAATACACAGGTTAAATAGAAAATGTCTGCATCTTCATATATTGTCAAGCAAGAACATCCGATGTTAGCAGCATTGACATCAGTTACTAGCTAATTTTATTGCAAATACTATTTACATAATTTATCTTAATATAAGCAAAGCAAAAGTCAGAGTCCTTTTTATATCCCAGTAGGCCAACTGGCTAATTGCCCATGAAGAACACTGAGAGGCTGCAGTCAGTCCAGAATGACCAATGCAGACAGTCATGGGTGTGTCTTATGGCATACCTCTGCTCCACGAGCTGCAGTCCTTAGCTTCTAGGTGGAATTAATCTTTGTACGTATGTACATACGTATGTACATACGTATGTACGTATGTATGTATGTATGTATACACATACACAAATATGTACATATATATTTGCTTTTCATTTTTTAATATTATTACCCATCCCAGTCATTTATTGTTATTTAATTATTGGCTATTTAAATAAATTTAAGATGTCGTTATCACCCATAGTATAAAACCCCTCAGTCTAGCTGTTTGAGAAACCTCATTTCCATTTTTCCTGCCTACCCTGTAACAATGGACAGAGTGGGTATGCTGTGGCTTCCATCTTTAAAGCAGCAGCATCTGATGGGAACTAGGTGACATGCTTTGTCAGCTGGGGTGCCTGTCCTCTGAAAATTATCTCCCGGATGGTTTGAACAGCTCTCACCCTGCTGTCCTTTTAATTAAACCTGAAGGCCTTCCACAGGCTCTGGAATAGGTAGGGATATATGCCTATCTTGAATGAGATTATTTTAATGGCTGGGATATGATGGCTCCCTTGCTAAAGCTCCCTTGCATTATTACTTTTTTATTGTTTTATAGATAAGATGTGTTTTGCATTGTGGATTGATATTATAAAGTCTATAAAATTTAATTCTAAATAAATCAATATGCATAGTTAAGAATTTAAACACAAGTAAAACCTAATTAAAATAATGGTTTTTCACATCTTTGTAAATTGCAACAGGAAAGAGGCCAGGGTACGACTATGGAAGAAGTACATTGCATAATATGAAGGCAACCACTGAGAAGGCTGATGACCTAATCTTGTCAGCCATTTCAGATTTCATGCATCTTCCCCGCATATAGGATGAAGTTGTTCACAAAAAAATGGGAAGGTGCATATCAGCAGCAGCTGCCAATTCTTCTTTTGCATGTCCTTCTACAAAGGACAAAGCTTTTAAGACCTGCTACATGCTTTTCCTACTAGACAAGATATACACTGTTTTTTCTCGTTCACCACTCATGCATCCTTTTTCTATAAAGGAGGAAACAAGAATAGCGGTTCTCCAGGTCCTAAACTAATAAAAGGATGTTAGTGGGTGAGTCTTTTCTTCCTTAACTCCTCAATCTGCATATTACTTCACCTACCAAGCAAGTGAAGGTTTGGATCTGATTCCTAGAGCAGACCCTTCATCCATATAATCTATTAATAATATAATGTAATGCAATGCAATGCCATGCTATTATAATAATATAGAAGAAAAAACTGGTGGATGGGATTTTGTCAAATTTGCAGTTGACACAGAATTTGGAAAACAAAACTGAAACTGAAGTCAACAAAAATTCAGAGAAAAATTCAAATGAGAGCAGTGGTACATACAAAGCAAAAAGATCTCAGGATTGTAGGTCCCCAATCATATCAAAAAGATCTCAGAATTGTTCAGCCCCTCACAATTTGAACAAAAGTGTGTGATGTATGGTTTCTATCTCATGAGAAGAAGTACCTTAACTGTCTCTATAACAGTAATCTAAGGTCATTTGGCATTCCGAGTCCAGTTGTGGATGCTGTACTTTAAAATGGAATGGACTTGGTGAAGAACAACAAAAATTTGTCAGCATCTTGTAGGTAGAAACACTGAAGGTACTTTCAGCCTGAGAAGACCTAATGGCATTTTTAAACCTTCAAAATGCTATCCCTAAGATGAAGAACGCTTATTCTCTGTTCTCACAAAATCCTACATTACAAGAGAATAGTGTTTGATCAAATGTTAGGACAATTACTTTAATCATAAGATCAATATACTCTCCTTGTGGCTAGCCATTTGTTGGGGATGCCCTAGCTCTGGATTTTTCACATTGGATAGGGGATTATCCACTTCCATCCTAGAGCATCACCTCTGGCTTAGTGTCCTCTGGATCATCAAGTTCAGCTTCATCATCCCAATTCTCTGGTTTCTTCACTGCTGGATCATTTATTCTCCTTGGTGTCAAGAAGTCCCAGTCATCTTCTAAAATGCCTGATATCACCATTTTATTATCAATTTTCACTTTATACGTGTGATCCGGTTTTAAAACCAGTGTATATAGGTGTGTGAACCCATCTACCTAAATAAAATGTGGAAAAAGATAAATATTAGTTTGTTTCAACACCTTCAGTAACACTAATTTCAGACAGATGGCCATAATAGTGTGCAGCAACACCACACAAGTCTAATAAGTGTGTAAAGTATTCATACAACTGTGGAGATTAACCAAAGCTACCTCATGTTTAATTAGTATTTTGACTTTGTGTATTGTATAAGTACGTGCAGACTGCCTTGGCAGTTGGAACACGTACGAAGTGCAAATAAATGTTATCTGTGTCAGTATCTAGCAAATAGCTAACCAGAAGGTTGTTATTTCCTCCTTGAGAGCGAGGTCTTTGTGTAAAATTT